CCGGGTACAAATCCTTAGATCATCAGTCCTCACCTGAGGGACCTTCCGCGGCATCTATGCGGGCATGGCTACTGCCTCTGGTGCCCCCCGCAGCCTCGCGCAGGTACCGTGCGACATCGCGATGGCCCTGCTCCTCAGCCAGGTCCACGGGCAGACGGCCCCAGGCATCGCGCACGTCCAGCCGCGCCCCAGCCCGGTGCAGCACCACCAGCGTGTCCAGGAAGCCCTCCCGGGCAGCATCATGCACCGGTCGGGTGAGAGTGGCGGGGTCAGCGCAGTTGGGCTCTGCGCCGTAGAGCAGCAGCAGCTCCGCCACGCGGGCGCTACCCATCATCATGACCTGCCAGAGAGAGCAGAGTGGTCAGAGCCAGGGTGGGGGCAGGTATGGGAGATGCCGGCCGGGGCAAGGCAGGTGGAGCCATTTAAAGAAACACCTATTTGTGAAGTATTCACCCAGTGCAGAGGTGTTCAGGTCTCTGGTGTCTGGTGTTTCTTCATTTGCTGATGCAATCCGCTTTCCCACCCCACCTTCAGGTTATACTCCACTCAGTACAAATTAAATGCCATTTTATTCTCTAAACGTGTAGAGACACGAAAGTTGATGGTAAAGTGATGATCGTCATTGTGGAAAAACAAATCTTGATTTCCATCGGAACATGGGAATCTATTTTGTTAAGTGATTTATGGGCAGAGTTAAATTTATTTGGCTTTTAAAGTTTTAAATTATTTGCCTTCCTGACCCCTCCTCCATAATCCAGGTCCAAAAATGTTTATTAGGTACTCAACTACTGTTTGTTAGAAGTTGGGAGTAATGGTTTAGGGGAGAAAATAAACAATTAAGTTTCTTTTTTCTTCCTTTCTTTTTAAAATTTATTTAGTTCTCATAGCAAATCCCGTGTGGAAGGCTTTTGTTTGTCATGTGTCTGTGCTCATAACTGGATTGTACTGTGATAATTTGAGCCAAAGTTGGAGATTAGAAGGGAAAAGTAAATTAAATCATGCAAAATCTTATAAAATTACAAGAATAAATGATTTTTCCTTAATAAACAGTTCATCATTTTTATTTTAGAGTGTAATATTTTTAATGTAACATAAAACTATATATACTACAGGATTTTATAATAGCTAAGATTTAAAAACGTTAAACAGTAAATATTTTGCTATATAAAAAGAGCTTGGGCCAGGCACAGTGGCTTATGCTTGTAATTCCAGCACTTTGGGAGGCCAAAGTGGGCAGATCACCTGAGGTCAGGAGTTCGAGACCAGCCTGGCCAATATGGTGAAATCCCGTCTGTACTACAATAAATAAATAAATAAATAAGCTGGGCATGGTGGGGCGTGCCTGAAGTCCCAGCAACTCAGGAGGCTGAGGCAGGAGAATCACTTACACCCTGAAAGCAGAGGTTGCAGTGAGCTGAGATCACACCAGTGCACTCCAGCCTGGCTGACAAAGTGAGGCCTCGTCTCAAATAAATAAATAAATAAATAAATAAATAAATAGAGCTTGGATGTTAGCAATCAGGATGATGCATAACTTAGAAAAAAATGATGTTTTGCAGGAGTAATCCTGTAGCAGCCCTTTGTGAACATGAACATTATGAAAACATTTGCTGTCATATTTTAAGTTAATTATAAGACAATTTTTGGTAACAAATGTCTAAAATTGAGTTATTTGTTATGGGTTTATGTACTTTAAAATATACCATTTAATTGAAAGGCAGTATACTTCTCATGTTTTGTCAGCTTGTTTCATTAATATTAGAAATGTTCATTTCATCTCTTGAAAACCATAAGTTCTATCTACTAGTGATGTAAGGATAGTTTACATAGAAAAAAGAGGGGAAAATAGCTGTTCTTAGTATTTCAGAAAATGGTGAATTACATATATAACTTGTTTTTATAATTATTAATAGAATTTTAAGTTTTTAAGAAGCACTTTACAATAGTTTTGCTCCTTTAAAAATCCCTTATTTGTTATACCACTATTCTAAGAATTCAAAAGAAATGAACACTTCTTTAAAATCTACACTATTAACAAGATCCCTTAATATTAGCTTAGTTTTGGAGGGTGATAGTGAGGTGAATACTGAATATGGCCAATAGCCAACAGTAAAGTACAAAAGCATTGTCCTAGATTGTAAAATAAATTAAAAATATCAGTACTAATTAAAGCAGGATTCGTAAACATTGAATAAGTGTATTTTAACGATGAAGATAAGGATGCATTATTTATGAAGATCCTTTGCCATTCAAAAAGGACCTAACAGTTGCTGCAGGAATATTTTTGTAATCTGGGCACTGAGTATGATAATTAAAGAATGAGAAACCTATAGAACTATATATTTTTTCTCTTATGCATCACTCATAAGACACTGCTAACATAAAAGGAACTAAGTGCTGTGGCTGAGGATTCCGGTCTCATTCCTTTGAATTCAATTAGCCTCTATGAGAAAACAATACAACAGATTTCATATAGTAGCTTAAAAGTTTACACTGATTTTTTTCCATGTACTATGATTTTGTAGAATTCCTTAAATCCAATCCAGAATGTGTAACTTATAGTTTACTTATCTTTATCGTTGAAAGCAAACAGACAAGATAATCGTCCTCCCTAAATAACCTTTCCTTTTCGCCTTTTCTCCCCAATTCAATCTATTCCTTGCATCTCTGATGATGAGATGGCAGAACAAAAACCACTAAAAAAGCTTAAACAGTGGATTTTTCAATGTCTCTCTTTAGAATTTTTGCTGGATAAAAGCCTGTTTTACGCCTGGGCTGCACACCTCCGGCCAAGGGAGACTGCTATACAAATCTACATCGGCGATCTTGATTCCAGCCCCGACCCGCCGAGGCCGCGCCCCGCGTTCGCGCGCCCCCTGCCGGCGAGGCCCTGGGGCCCCAGCTACCTGGATCGCGCGCCTCCCGAAGCGGTTGACTCCGTTGGGATCCGCGCCGGCTTCCAGGAGCTGTCGCACCTTCTCCACTAGTCCCCGCGCCGCGGCGCTGGTCAGGCCCTCATCGCTGCCGCCTCCACTGGGCATGCCCTTGTTCTCCTCGCGCATTCCGCAGTCCCCAGACGCGCAGAGGCCCGGATAATCCACCGTTGGCCGTAAACTTAACGACACTCCTCCCTTCTTTCCCACGCTGCTCCGGCGCACTCTCTCCTTCCTAGAAGAGCTGGGCTCAGCTTCATTACCCTCCCGCCGTCCTTCTGCGGCTTGGGGCCCCGTGCAATGGTCGAGCCGCCAGTAGTTAGCTCCGGGCTTTTCCTGGCGCTCAAGAACTAGCGGGCGCTCCTGGATTGCTTCTGAGGAAAAGCGCCTAGTGCGGCCGCAGCCCAGCTCAAAGCGGCTCTGGCCGCAGGGTGCGGACGCGTCGCGGAGTCCTCACTACCCCGCCTCGCTCTGGCAGAGTGGGGAGCCAGTCGCCAAAGAATTCCGTTTTCAGCTGGGCCAAGGGGCCGGCCTCTCCCCACCCCCTTAGGCTCCGCCCCCTGTCCGCTGTGCTCGCCGGGAGGCCAGGCCCCGGCCGACGCGTCACGAGGGAGGGGAAGCCTGCCCAAAGGTGCTGAGACGCATGCGCCAGAGACTGGGCCAGGGAGCCGCCAGGAATGCCGGCTGGACTGCTCGCTGGATGTCCGGTAAAGCCAAGGCTAATATTTTGGGAATGTTGACCCACTACCCTCAGCTCCTAATCCCCAGTAGGCGGAGCAGAGGATTTCTGTTCCTTCAGCCTTATGCCAGTTGGTTTCACTGTGGAGACGTTAGTGGCTCCCTTGTGGCCGAGAGAAAGGCATTGAAAATAACTCTTTCTTAAGATGTCTGAGAGCGACAGCTCTGCACCTGTCATACAAGTTAAATTCATCCCTAGGCAGTACTTGAACTTCACAAGTTTCATATCTTGTGTCAACCTTAGCGGTTTTCTCTTGTATGTGTCTTTCTATTTGAATTTGTCAACCATAAAAATAGAGAAAAATCCCGAGAATCATGTTTTGCATGTGCTTTTTAATTCTTTCCATGTTTGCATTATGGATACAACCCTTAAAAGAGAGAGAGAGAGAGAGAGAAAAAAAAAAACTAGTTCGAGATTGAGAGTGGCAACCTAGCACACAAGACAAAAAAAAATTGTGCTTTAAGAATCTGAGATCCCAGTTTCATATTTGCACAGTAAATCTTTGCACTCTTACCTATTTAAACCCACTTTGTCAAGTATTTTATTTTTATTTATCATGAGTAATAAAGGAAATTTATGCAGTAATAATGAAACATAAGAGAGGGGTGTGGTGCTGGGCTTGTCATTAAACAGGCTGAACCTGTCATTAAATTCTCTTCTGAAGATTTAAATGCCAAGTGCTTTTATTTTCTTTCTAATCTTCCTGGGTGAGTTTGAATCAACATTTATTACTTTAAATATTTAAAACATTTCAGCGGATGCTACATTGGATAGGAAGAGAACCACAAGTTATGGATTTGTTGCCTAAAAACTTTGGTGAGGAACTACATAAGTGGACCTCTCCTAAAAGTGAACAATTTTTATTTACAGAATCATTTTGGTTCGGAGTGCTGAGGAAGAAAAAGTCTTAACAGGAGGGCAATTGCTTGCTTATTGCAAAATGAGAGTCTTCACATTTTTTTTTTTTTTTGGAAACCTTAGCTCTGACTCCTCATTACCCCAAATCCCTGTAGAATTTTAAAAAGCTCTTTATTTTAAAGGCAATGGGGCCCATGGAAGTGGTGGTTAGGGCTGAAAATCTACTGACAGAGCCTCAACAGAGCTGAAATCCACCTGGACAGGGAAGGGAACCGGGTAGCATTAGTAACAACTTCTTTCTCTTTCCCATCCAACCACCATTTCCTAGTCTTCGGTTTCTTAATTTCTTTACCTTTTACTCTTACGCTTTTGCTTTGACCTTTGAGTTTCTCTGAAACCTATCAAAAAAGTTAGGACAAGATAGTCTGAGCCAATTCCTGAGCCATTTTCTTAGGTAGTAAATGTCTCTGAAAAATGAAAACTGTTTGGAGTTGATAAGGAAAGGGAAGATGATGTTTTTCTTTGAGGGGGACATAAAGAATGGTGATAGGGAAAGAATCAATGAGTAAGTAGAATGACTGAGAATCTTCCACGAAGCACACGTGTGAGCTTTGCGAAGCAAGTCGACTGAATGCAAAACAACCTTGGGTAGGGAGAATGTTGCCGGGGGCATTCGCGCTTACTAGCACCACGGACAGCGCTTTGCTTATACTCATGCCTGGGTGGTCCTGACCAGCTCCAGACAGAATTCTAAAGCTTCACACTTGATCTTCCAAAGCCCCTTTTCTCCCATCAAGTAGAAAGAACATTATGGGAGCTCAATGGATTTCTTTGAAAAACCAACCTGCTCAACCTGGGTTTCAAATATGATTGGATTTTATCTAATATTCTCTGTATAAAGAATATTATATAGTCTATATTTAGGAGAAGAGAAGAGAAATCAAACTTATTGTGTACTCTGTACCAAGTGCTTTACAACTGTTGTTTCATTTAACACTCATAGAACTCCTCTGTGGCATGTGTCCATATTTCAATTTTACAGACAACCCTAAAGGATCAGAGAAGTTGAGTGACTTGTATATTAGCTAATCATGGTTGGAGGTGGGTATAACTTGTGCGACTTCAGAGTCTTTTTATCCTTTATACTACATAGTGTGTTTTTAGCAGCTGTCATGGTAGGCTTAACTGGAAAAATGTAATAAACTGGCTTATAATTATTTTTCAGTCTACACTGTGTTTTCCAGATGGCTCACTTCACAGCACACCCTTAACAGACTTCAAAGATGACATTTCACATGTAATACAATAGCACATTTGTCTTGGACAATAGAGTGAGATTATGAAACATTCTACCTCTCTTCCTCTCTTTGAAACCCAGCTGTCTCTAGGGTGAAACACAATCTGCTGTTAATGCTTTAAACACATTTAAAAGGTGAAGTGGATGGGAACATAGTGGGCAGCTGAAACTTGGAATTGTCAGTCATGTCTTTTAATAAGGTGCATAATTTATAATGAGAAGAAAGAGAAAGTTAATGGCAATTGGCATGGAATTTTGGAGGACAGTGGAAGGGAATGATTAGTATCCATTCCAATGTTGCACATAACTCAGATCAGTAGTAATAATATTTTTATATTCTAGTTGGTGAAATTGTCTGTATTTGACCTTGCTATAAAAGTATGAATAGATCCGCCATCTTCTTTTTCCTCAACAAGGTGGCTGAGCTGCAGACGCAGATATGCAGCTCTTTGTGGAGACCCTCACGGGCAAGACCATCATCCTTGAGGTCGAGCCCAGTTACACCACTGAGAATTTCAAAGCCAAAATTCAAGACAAAGAGGGTATCCCACCTGACCAGCAGCGTCTGATATTTGCTGGCAAGCAGCTGGAGGATGGCTGCACTCTCTCAGACTACAACATCCAAAAACAGTCCACCGTGCACCTGGTTCTGCACCTGCAAGGTGGCATTACTGAGTCTTCCCTCTGCCAGCTCACCTAGAAATACAGCTGCAACAAGATGATCTGCCACAAGTGCTATGCTCGCCTGCACCCCTGTGCTGTCAACTGCCGCAAGAAGTGTGGCCACATCAACAGCCTGTGCCCCAAGAAGGTCAAATAAAGCTCTTCCTTCCTCGGAGGGCAGCCTCCTGCCCAGGCCCCATGGCCCTGGAGCCTTAATAAAGTGTCCCTTTCATTGACTAGAAAAAAAATGTATGAATAGAACTAGTTGACTGGCCAAGAGAAACAGCAACCTAACCTTGCCCTCATTTATGCACACTTTTGCATATGGTTAGGTCTAAGATAGTGTTTATAAGTGAGAAGAGAAGAAAATTCATAGTCTCTTTTGGGGCTTTTTCAAATTTTTTATGACACACCTTCCCATCAGGAGGTTTGATTTTCTCCATTTTATGAGTTGGAATTTATTGCCCCATGATCCACAGTATATCCACTTCTGTATTCCCATGTGTTTTTCAAGATTAATTAAATGGTGGACTTGTTCATCATTTTAGCATCTGTATTAGTTTGCTAGGGCTGCCATAACAAAATACCACAGACTGAGTAGCTTAAACAACAAATATTTATTTTCTCAGTGTTTTAACTTCTCCTGAGGCCTCTCTTCTTGACTTGCAGATGGCCATCCTGCTACTGCCTCTTCACATAGTCATCCCTCTGTGCACACATGCCCCTGGATCTCTTCTGTGTGTCCAAATTTCCTCCTCTTTTGAGGACACCAGTCAGATTGGATTAGGGCCCACCCCAGTGGCCTTATTTAACTTAGTCACTTTAAGGGCTCTATTTCCAAATACAGTCAAATTGTGAGGTATTGGAGTTAGGACTTTAACATAAGAATTTTGAGGTGACAGAATTTACCCATAACAACAGCATCTTAATTTTTACACATTTTACTTTTCATTTCTTTTAAAACTGTTATTAATAATTTATTCATTTGAATAAGGATTAAAATAAGGCTAGGACATTGAAATTGGTTGAAATAGCTACCAGTCTCTTGTATCTCTCTGTCTCTTTTTCTTAATAAGGGACAGATTTTACCTTGTCGACCAGGCTGGAGTGCCGTAATGTGAGCAAGGGTCACTGCTGCCTCGAACTGCTGGGCTTAAGGGATCCTCCTGCCTCAGCCTCCAGAGTATCTGGGACTACAGGTATTGGCCACCATGACTGGCTAATATTTTTACTTTTTTGTAGAGATGAAGTCTTGCCATCTGGCCCAGGCTGGTCTCGAACTCCTGGGCTCACACAGTTCTTTCACCTCAGCCTCCCAAAGTGCTGGATTACAAGCGTGAACCACTGCAGCTGGCCTCTTGTTTCCTTTAATCTACAGTTTCCCCCTTTTTTCCTTTTTTTTTCTTTCAATTTATCTATTGCGGAAATCAGCTTTATCTGTAGTTTTCTAAAGCTTGTATTTTACTAAATGCTTCTTTATAATGACACTTAACATTTTTCTTTGTCATTTGTATTTCTCATATGTTATTATTTAGGCCTAGAGTCTGTATGTGATTCAGGTTTGCTATTTGGGCAAAAGTATTTAATAAGTGGTGTTATGTACTTTCACCAAGAGACACATAATATGGTTGTCTCTTTTTATGATTCTAGCAGCCATGGATAATTATTTCATAGCTTATTATTTTCTTGGGGGTGGTAAAATGGTGATATTCTAATTTTACTATCCCTTCATTTATGAGCTGGAATGTCTTTTTAAATTTTCTATTTATTTATTTATTATTATTTGAGACAGAGTCTCGTGCAGTCACCCAGGCTGGAGTGCAGTGGTGTGATCATAGCTCACTGTAACTTGCAACTCCCAGGATCAAGTGATTCTCCCACCTCAGCTTCCCCAATAGCTAGTACTACAGGCACACACCACCTGGCTAATTTTTAAATTTTTTGTAGAGACGAGGGTCTTGCTTTTTTGTGCAGGCTGGTCTCAAACTCCTGGGCTCAA